AAAAAAAAAAAAAAACTGTGGATATTTTTGTATACAAACATGTCCTAAAGGTTAATGAACTCTTTTTTTTTTTTTTTATGTAGAACCAACTGAGGATGGATAATTTGTTCTTCACTTAAAATGTGATATGAAATACAAACCTGATAAAATCAGCTGACCAATTCGAGATGATCGGATGGTCGAGCAAGCCCACATGTAAGTCGAACACATAATAAAGAGTCTTCAGGTCAACGAAAGCGTTGTAGGTTTAAAGAGACACCGACAGGTCGAGTTAGGGCGAAACTCGACCTGAAGGTATAATTGGTCGTGTGATCGACCAAAGATACAGGGCACATGGGCTCGATGTACACGGCATTCTACCTCAACATGATTCAAGTCAGTCGCATGATTAGGCAGTCTAAGAAGATAGACTAATGGATAAGGAGAAATATTATTAGGATAATGGTCATATATGGATATGGCCACATGGCCTAACAGAATAGGGTTGTTTAGGCAGTACGGACAGCTCACTCGGATAGTCTTGGCAACAAGGTAACACTTCCTTATAAAAGGGAGTGAGGTATGTCATCTAGAACATTACATACTCTCTATATACTTACATATAGAACATCATCTTCTTCACCATGCTAACTTAAGCATAAGAGGCTCTTCACTGGAAAAAACCATATAGTGTGGAGTTTTTGCAAGTTTCGAAGGACGATTTACGGGAGAAGAGTTTAGATCAGGTCAAAACCAAGTCGGTCGAGGGTTTTTTAATACCATTTGGCATCGTCTGTTGGAATCTATTCAAAAACCATCGTAACTTCTTCATCCTTGGCGAGCGAGATTCCTAGGAGAAACTTAGAGACAATGTTTGACGACGTGTGACGAGTACGCGTCCATTCGGAGCAGGCCCATCACCAGGCTTCTTCGGACCTCTTCAAACCCTCGTGATCCCGACGCCCATCCTATGGGCTTAGGGAGCTCATCGGCGGTTCCAGTCGCAACTAGAGGACCGAGCAACCCACCGGAGACCCGAACACCCGAGAAGGGCATAGATCTGGCCCAAGCGCAGCCAAAACGATTGATGGCCCAGATGATGGGGCCACCTTGGAAGGAGACCGAGGCAAGACATCTCTTAACGATGTCTAAGGAGGAGCTTGTGAAGATGATATCAGTCGTTGTTGTTGTTGGAGCATCTCAGTAGGTCACTCACCAGTTGTCCCAGGCAATCACCATGCCTACTACTGTGGTGGTAACTAACATCCAAGACACAGAGATGGACAAGTCGAGCAGTTGGGGTGCACATAGAGATCGAGCGTTGAAGAAAATGGCAGAGCAAATCCATCAACTACAAGCCAATGTCGATGGGTAGGCAGTGGGTTGAGCTCGAGGACATCCATTTTCTTGAGAAATCCTCGATGTCGCGCTACCAACAAACTTCAGAGAGGTTAGTTTGACATCTGACGAGTCGTCAGATATGTCGAGACATGAGATCGTTTGAAAACATTGCATGAGTATTCAAATAATGTGTGTTGTTAAGTTTCTTAGCCACTCTAAGAGGAGGAGCTCAAGATTGGTACCATCAACTCCCCCATGGTCATTGGAGGACTTTGAGGATTTTCGAGCTTATTTTTAAACCAATACAGCAGCTCACTTGCTCAGGAGATGACTCACTTTTGAAGGAACAAAAAAAAAACCAATAAAGAATATTGATGGAGAAAGTTAACCAAATTTGAAAAACTTGGCAGCCCCAATAAACAAGGTTCTCGAGAATATACGTATACCAGTAAGAAACCATTACAGGATAAAAATAAAATATACCAAGACCAAAAATACAGCCATTAGAATATGGGCGAGGAAGTCAAGAGTGGCGTCCTGACTCATGCGGACTGACCGTCCGTGGTGCTGCATGTCACGGCCGATAATAATGGATGTCGAGAAATAATGACAAATTGCAAAGGAAAATAAATATTAAAAACAAAAACTACTAAAGTAAAAGCAAGCTATACTGTTCGGGGAGTCGGATAAGCTAATACCTGCAGGTGTTTATTCGCCATGACGTCCCCTTCAAACCAGAAGCCGTTATAGATAGTATAACAAAACTTAGTAAGAAACTATACAGAAACTTTGTAAGAAACTATACAGAGAAATCTACGAAGATAGAATTAGGTCTCAACAAGCAAATTGGTGTTTTACGACCAATCACAAGTTTCATGTTCGACCAGTATGAATAATGAATATTTTGATCTAAGTTTCCTCTATCAATCGCCGCATACTTCCGAGATCTCTACGACTCTACCGAAACCTTTTCAAATATAAAACTTCTTGTGAATAAGTGAATTAGGCAGTACTCTGCTGCACAGAATAACAAGTAGCAGGTCAATCTTCATCATTATGATCCACAGCCCGGACTCCACGTACAACTTTCTCTCAACACTGACAAGTGATACCAATTCAGAGGCCAACTTTTCAAGTAATCGAGAACATAGAAACACACCAACTGTCCATGTCCTTTGCTCGAATTAGTCAAGCACCCAAATTGAGAAGAACTGTTAGAAAAAACCTTACCCTTAATCTTCAAAATCACAGCACTTCACCACTTTCCACACACACAAACTACCTCAACCTTTGCCTGCTGGCCCCATATTCATTGGCTTGGATCCTCTACAATTGATGTGGTAAAAATTTTGTGCGTAGTTGGAGAGAAAAAGACACAACATAAAATTACATGTGGAATTTTTACATTATTTACACGTGTCTTTCTCTCTACAACTTCGCACATATATTTACCAATCATAAATGTATATAAATCTATTTCCCATATTTACTGCCTTTTGGCCAGAGGTCATCAAAGGTGACCATTACCTCAAACAAGCATCATCGTGCGACCCGAGCAGCCGAGAGATCCTCACGCGAACTCTCGTCAACTCCCTTAACACTCATTTGAGAGCTCACAATCTCGGCCTGCTCCAACATACCTTCCTCTCTCAGCCCGCAAAGAAGCATGCTGCAAATCGAGGCTCGTGGCAGAAGCCCAGTTCCCAACATCTTCTCGTACCACATGTAAGCCCCGTCAAAATCCCTCAACTTGCAGTACCCCTCGATCAACGTGTTGAAAGTCTCGTCATTGGGTGCAATCCCTCTGGAAATCATGCCATCAAAAAGATCCCTAGCTGCCCCTATATTCCCTTTCTTCAAGCATCCGGTAATCAAGCTGTTGTAAGTCATCTTGTCCAGACGAATGCCCGCACCCAACATCTCGTGGCACAAGTGGTTAGCTCTATGAATGTACCCGTGATGTACGTAGCACTGTACGAGCTGGTTGTATAAAACTCGGTCAGGGGACAAATTGAACTTCGATATATCTTGAGCAAATTTCTCGACGAGGTCCAACCTGTCCTTTTTGCTCACACTTATCAGCGGATGGTAGGTGCTCAGCGTGGGCTTCATGCCCAAGATTTTCATCTTCTCGTACAATTCCAAACACTTGACTAGGTCACCTGCGGTTGAGTATCCGGAGATCAAGGTATTGAAAGTGATGGCATCAGGACTCAAGCCTTTCTTGGAAACACTAAAGGCTAATTCTTCAGCCTGTGAGAGCCTGTTTTTATTGCACTGCCCCTTCACGAGTGCATTGTACGTCACAATGGTCGGAAGTACTTTATTATTTAACATCTCTTTAAAGACCCTAAAGGCATCATCAATTTTTCCTACTGAGCAGAAACCATGTATGAGCATGTTGTACACTTGGGCATTCGAGAGCACGCCTCTCGTCAACATGTCGTTGAAGATAACCTCGGCTTCTATAAGACGCCCCTTCTTGCAGAAGCCATTTATCAACGACCCATAAGTGACGACATTGGGCTTCAAACCATTGGTTTCCATCTCGTGAAGATTCTGCAAACACTCCTCAAACTGGCAATTTCGACCGTAGCCGGCCATAAGGATATTATACGTCTGCAGGTTTGGTCCAATGCCCTTCGCCTTCATTTTCCCGACCCACTCGTCCGCGCTGTCCATCTGACCCAGTTCACAGAATTTTCCGATCACCATATTGTATGAGATGCAGCTGGGCCCCACACACTCTCTTTCCATTCTCTCGATAGTCAAGAGAGCTTTCTCGACATTTCCTGCTCTGCAGTGGCCATTCACCACGGTATTGAAGATGACCTCGGTCAGGGCAACTCCAGATTCCTTCAGTTTCGACAAAAACTCCTCCACCCGATCCATTTTTCCCTCCTTGCATAAAGTGTTAATTAAAATACCACACGTATATGAATTCATGCTCAGGCCTCTCTTAACCGCATCATTGTATATAGCTATTGAGGCTTCGACATCACCTCGCCTAGAGTGTCCGTCCAGAATAATACTGTAACTGAATACATCGGGAATGAACCCATGGGCCTCCATTTCCCCCAGACCTTATTAGCCTCATCCATTCTCCCCATCTTACAGAGCCCACTGAGCAATGTGTTATATGTCACAATATTCGTGTCCACCTTGTCGTTCTTCATCCTCTCTCGAAAAACAAAAGCCCCCTCCAAGTCCCAGGATTTACAGTACCCGTCGATCAGGGTATTGTAGGTCACTGTGGTCGGTGCCACATTCAACCTGCGCATTTCATCAAACAGCTTCCTGGCATCACCGAGCCTCCTCTCCTTACACAAGCCGCTGATCAAAACGTTGTACACGAACCAGCTTGGCCTCCAACCGCTGTTCTTCATCAGACTCATCAACTCCAAACCCCTCCCCACATCCCCGAGCTTCACCGCCGACTGTAT